GTGTACACCCAAGTACTTGTAGCTGGAGACCACTTCCACCGCAGCAGGATAGGCTTGTTAAAGATAAGAGTGGTAATGTTCTAATAAGTGAGGAGAGTTTAATGGGAAGATGGAAGGAGTACTTTGAGTAGCTAATAAACTAAGAGTTTGTTAGAAGAGCATTAATATTACTTTATATAAATGATAATATTTGACTAAATCCTTGAAGATGCCACCTAGTGGCTAAAATAGCATATGCCGGTAATCTTTCTAATCTACCTTTAAACCCATTTTAGTTTTGAATAGGTATGTCTTCGTAAATAAGTATTTGTCCTGGGAAATCCCTTTGTATAATGTCTGGTGTTGTCTTGACACTTGGAGATTAAATATACGACAGGATTGCTCAATTTTGGAGAGTGGTGGTGCAGTGGTTGGACTGTGATTGGAATGTCATCAGTTCGACTCCCCAGACCGACAACATCAAAATGTGGGTGGAAATGGTGAAACACCCACATTTGCCTCCACCTGCATTTGCCCCACTCTGGGCCCTTGAACGCTGCTCCCAGAACAGGTCTCTTGAAAATGAGTCCTCGTGTCTCAATGAGACTACCTGTATAAATAAAGGTTAAAAAAAAACTCCACTCCTGACAAAAAAAACCAAAAAATCAAGTTTTCAAATCAACACTCTCGTAAACAAATCTCTCTCGTCACGGGGGCAGCTGATGAAATGTCAAATTTCAACGAACGATGTTTCATTTTGAAAACTGGTCATCGCAACTTGTTTTGCCTGCACAAGTCCCAAATGTGAGAGTTGTCTTCAAGGATGTAGAGCTGTGTAAAATATGCAGCTGAAAAATAATCAGAAGGCTCATTTTGACCTGCAGGCCCTGCAGGTAACAGCAACAGCTTAGACACTTTCTTAAGGAGCTTATGGTCCCTCGCTGTCAATCCTCCACAACTCCACGTCTCCTGGCGCAGACACCTGCAGTGAAACCAACATACCCTCCTGTCAGGTAAATAATTATTAAGTTCTTGTTAGAAATGGAAAATGTTTGCAGCAGTGTGTATTTGTGTTTTAAATTTTTAGAAAATCTGTGATTAATATTTTTTATTTAAAGGTCAAAGATCTATAAATAATGTGGAGTTTGTTTATTTCATTTATGTTTTTAGTACAAATTTGTTAATTTGTGCTCCTTCACCCAACTGTAGTGACCTTTCAAAATAAAGAGGGCAATAGATGCATACATTAAACATTAGCTCGAGTGGGAGAGAGTTTGAGGCAAAATCCGAGAGTATGTCAAATAAACATTTATATCGGGTATTGTATAATTATACTACAGTATAAAGTGTGTATTCTAGTATATTTGATTAAAAGTTTGACCTTCCATTTGATGCATATTTTAGCTCATATGGGTTATCAAGGATTCGAGGATTATTAATTGTCATTCACATCACATGTGGTACATGAGGTGGAATGAAACTATGTACACAGGGTCCCAGTTACATCCAACAAAAATACAAATTGTAAAGAAAAACGGCAAGATCCAAGACATGAATACACTAAACTAAGAACTAATAGTACATCACGTAACAAAAAAAGTTTACCAATTGCTTTCTTGTTGTTTATTACATAAAATAATTATAAATTTGATTGTTGTGATGCAACCACTGAATTGTCATGTGGGTGAATCCTGAACGTGTTTCCCAGAATAACTGCTGCTCTTCTGGGCTGAAGCTCTGAGAAGGATCAGTCTGGAGTAGATTAGCAGCTAATCTCCTGTGCATCCCGTCCAACCTCAACACACACACACATAAAGAACCAGAATGAAGGTTGAACAGGTGAAGCTCCAGTGTGTGTGGTCTGGATGATGGAGCTGATCTTTGCTTGTCCACAGCCAGTTGGTGATTCCCTGCGGCCATGTGTGACCAGACCTTCCTTGCGGCCACTTTTGGCCCATGTGACAGCTGTGGGAAAGCCAGTCCTCTGATGAACATCTACATTAAGAATGATCCCATCAACTACTGCTCCTTCTGCATGGAAATGGTAACAACAGAAAGAAAGAGTGAAACGATTTCATGATCTGCATCATTTCAAACGTATTCTAACCCAGTTTATGATTATTATCATGTCCAGATACCAGGTGATGATGATCAAAAATCTCATGATTTGTCAGCAAATTACATTCTTTATCAAACTGGTTATAAACTTTATTCAGTCAAGTTAACTTTATTTATAAATCACATTTAAAACAGCAACTGTTACAAAAGTAATTAATAAAAATTAATGTAAGCAATTTAATGAAAAAATTAAATGCAAGTAATGATAGTACCGAAAATTAATTAAAATCATCAAAACGCAGAACAATAAAATACTAAATCAAATTGTAAATTAAATATATACAGTATATATTTAAACTGTGATTTTTCCAGTCCTCCTGATTTGTGCTGTTAACCTGCTTCTGAGCAGTCATGCTGATCCTGGATCAGAAAAGACTTTTTGAACACTTGTTCCTGAAACACCTAATTAATACTTTCATCTTGTCTCTTGAATTTTCATTGATTTAACATTAATAGGAGTGGTGATAAAATGACTGGTGTTTTCACCATTAAACTGACTAGTAATAATTCTGTTATAACAAGTGCAGATCATTCTCATCTGGACTTGGTTCTGAATAAACCAGGATGCTGTCTGGTGAAGTCAAAGCAAAAACGTGATGAAATTTGTTTTACACGCAGTTGGCACATATTTGACTTGGATTCCTAATTACTATAGAAATAATTATTCCTATAAATATTAATTAAATATACGTGTGATTTTAAAAGTCAAGATACATTTGTATCTCATAAATATGATTAAACTCCCAATTATGACACTAAAACTCCTGATTATAACTTTAATACTCATAAATATAACTTTAAATGCCATAACTTTGTTACTCATAGTTTGACTTTTGAAGTTAGGACATTGCATCTTATAATTACGACTTTAACCCCTAATTATGACACTAATATTCATATTTATGACTTTAAACCTAATAAATGTGATTTTGTAGCTCATAAACTTTTTTTTGTTTGTATTGGCATGAAGGGGCTTCCGTACATTAATGCGCCACAGCTGTAGTTTTATTAATATATTAACAATATTCACTTGGGTGTCGGTGTTTCGTTCAGAGGAGGGTCGGGAGGGGGAGGGGCAGCGCGGTGAGTGGCACGCGCTGCAGCAGCGTCGCTTGTCGCGCTCTGACCGGTTCTGGTCCATTTGCCCCCTCTCCTCCTTTGTTCTGTCCGCCGTGCTGCTGTTGAAGATGGCCTGCCAGGGGCTGCAGAGCGGAGAGACGCTGACCTCCCTGAAGAAGGAGAGCGAGAGCCTGAAGAAGAAGCTCGAGGAGGAGCGGGGCAAGCTGGCGGACGTGGAGCGTGAGTCCACACAACTTTTCATCACCCCGCTGTATGGCAGGCCGTTGTACATATAATCAAAGACTATGTCCAGTCTGCTCCTGTGTTTCTCAATTATCTCATGAACCACAGGACGGATTTTAATGAAACTTCCAGGAGATAATTGGTGGATCTGCGTCTGATTAACTTTTGAAGTCAACCCAAGTCAAAATAGCCACCACAGCCTACTGAGCTCATGTATACTCCAAGCTCAATGCCCGCAGTAAATGTTGGAGTTGACCTTGTTGGTCTGTTAGCAAAATATCTAATAACCACGGACTTTACTTTTCAGGAACTAATCATTAGATGGACATCTACAGCTAATTAATTTTTGGAGTCCGTCCAATTCAAGATGGCTGCTATAGCTAATTGATGAAAGCCAACACAGAAATGGTGATAACTCAGTTTTATAGATACTGCCTTAAAATGTCATGTGGTAGTAACTGAGAGTTATTCACTGCACATACTCTGAGCGTGGCCCAGCTGCAATACGATGAGACTAAAACTATGAAACTATGAGGCGGGTGATATCCAATCCCTCAAGGAACAAAAGACTTTTATTAATTTATAATTTGTTAAATGGCAGCAGCTATTCAACATGACATTTGCACAAGTCAGAATTTAAATTTAGGTATCAGAAATAGCGTTATTCTAGTAAAAACTATTTTCAACTGAGATCGTGGTGAGGAAAATAAATTCAAGCTTAAAGTTGTTTGAAATTTTTAGTAAAAATGTAATTTAATGGCAAAACTGGATGTTTACAGCGACTTCTTTAACAGAGTTCTTAGTGAAAAAAGAGCGTTTTATATATTTTTTACTATTTACAGTCACCACTTCAGATATTTCAAACATCATATCTCTTGAACAAATGTCATTAAATTTAATAGCATTTTGTTTAAATATTTCCACTGTTTTTGCTTCATTTTACATCCACTAGACTTACTTTTAAATTAAAGTCTGGACTTTCTTTAGATTAGCAGAATGGTCTTAAATATAAAACCCAAGAATATAAACAAAGAAGACAAGAAAACTAACATGCTTGTATGTCAGACGATATTTATGCTGATGTGTGACCTCAGTGCACCACGTAGCTGAGAAGGTTGAAGCAGTGGCGTCTCTCTCCATAAAGACCAGGCGTGTGCTGAAGGGTCACGGGAACAAGGTGCTGTGTATGGACTGGTGCAAAGACAAGCGTCGTCTGGTCAGCTCTTCTCAGGTACGCACAATAGTATTACATGAAACAATTAATTACATGACGAGTTTTATCTGGTATTTGTACTGCGATGTCTTTATGGTATACAGCCGGATAATGTCATGATGTTTCTCTAATCTAGGATGGAAAAGTCATCGTCTGGGATGCTTTCACTCTCAATAAGGTAAATAAATCATTTGTGATGTTCTTTTTGTTTGAAATAAGGCAGTGGAGACAATTTACGTTATTTATTTGTTTAGACGTGGAGATAAAACACAAACCTCAATGTGTGTACAAATGTTTTCCCAGAATACAGTTCTGAAAACAGTGAGGCTACAAGGAGCAGAGGTCACAAAGGTGCAGGACTTCCTGTATTTGGGGTCCACTGTCCAGAAAAATGGGGAATGTGATAAAAAGATGAAAAAGAGAGTCCAGGCAGGATGGAGTGGATGGAGAAAAGTTTCAGGAGTGATTTGTGACAAAAAGATGTCGGCAAAGGAAAAGTTTACAAGACAGTGGTGAGACCAGCTCTGTTGTATGGTCTGGAGACAGAGACATGGACAAAAAGACAAGAGAAAGAACTGGAAGTGGAGGAAATGAAGATGAGGTTCTCCTTAGGAGTGATAAGGCAGGATAAGATTAGGAATGAGATCATCAGAGGTACAGGTTGAACAACTGGGAGATAAAGTTAGAGAGACCAGACTGCAATGGTTTGAACACGTCCAGAGGAGGGACAGTGGGTATACTGGTAGAAGGATGTTAGAAATGCAGCTGCCAGGAAAAAGACAAAGAGAAGATATATGGATGCAGTTAGAGAGGACATGGAGGTGGTTGGAGTGAGGAGAGAGGATGCAGAGGACAGAGTGAGATGGAGGAGGATGACTGGAGACCCCTGAAGAGGGAAAAGCTGAAAGAAGAAGAAGACGGTTCTGAAAACGTTTAAAATTAACCATCCAAATAGATGTATAAAACTGTGGAAAGCATTTGAGGCGTGTCCGTTCCTCACTCCTCCTCCCTGTTCAAAAGGAGGAAGAGTTCCTCCTTTACGCTCAGGGCTCAGATAGTGACGTCACTGAACGTGACACGATTAGAAGAAAATATTATCGATCCGCCTGTTCCTTTTAACAGCTGTATGTTTGTTTGTGTTTGTGACAGAGTACTGGTACCTCAGACCTGTCCCAGTTTAATAGTTTAAGTTTAATAGACTGTACCTTATTGAGAAGCATGGTGGTGCTAATGGAGCAAACACACACACACACACACACACACATCAGGTTTACAGCAGCTGGACTGTGTGTGTGTGAATATAACAGGATGAGTTTTTTTTAAAACCAAAAATCAAAAGTTTTCTTCCGGCTTTGTTCATTTGTGTCTTCATGCGTGTGCTTGTTGTGTCCTGCAGGAACATGGGGTCACCCTGCCGTGCACGTGGGTCATGGCGTGTGCGTACGCTCCCTCAGGTTGTGCTGTGGCATGTGGGTGAGTAGTTTTTGGATCTGTCAGTGTACAGCGCTGTTGAAAGATATGTGCATTTCCTAGAAATTATCATTTTTTTAAATAGTCATTCATCAATAAGATACAGTTTTTTTCATTTATCTGTGATAGAAAAACAACATTTAGATATTTATATACATACCTTAAGTATATTTCATGTTTGCTCAAGACTTCAGATGTTTCTACAAGCGTTGCTACAGAAAGAACGCCCTCGTCTCTGCGTTCGTTTTGTGTTTTCTTAAATTTGGTGTTTTTACCTCCTCCAACAGCGGGCTGGATAACAAGTGCTCCGTGGTCCCACTCTCGTTGGACAGAAACGAGAACTTGGCTGCAAAGAAGAAGTCTGTGGCCATGCACACCAACTATGTGTCAGGATGCACCTTCACCAACTCAGACATGCAGGTGAGCAACGAACATGAACTCTGTTCTCCGGATCAGGGGTTTTGAAGAATGGCATCAGAGATCACATAAGGATTTCCCTGCACCAAGGTTGTAAAAGATAATTTAGTTCAGGTTCCATAAAAATAATACTTGGTGGATCTTTATAGGTGACAGTGTAACAACAAAGACTGGACGCATTTATGCTGAAACTGTATTTTATGAACAAAATGAGATCCAGATGCTGTCTGTTGTTCGGTCCGGTGCTCCTGTTTATGCATCTTTACTACCTGATCTGCATCTTGAATCCAGATCAGTCCTGTTTAACAGATAAGACGAGTAAAAAAATAAAAATTAAAAAATCACAAAGTTTGAGAAAACTTCAAAAGTGAAGTGAACTCGCCTTTAAAGCAGATTCAGGAGAACGCACACAAAACGTTTTGGGTTCTTTAATGTTGCATCCAGACTGTACAAATGTGCAGTTTGTAGGATAGCCTCATCTTCTAAACATCCATCCATCCATTGTCTTCCGCTTGTTCCAAAGTTCAGTCACTACCCAGAGCTCATGACCATAGGTGAGGGTAGGAACGTAGCCCAACCAGTAAACAGAGAGCTTTGCCTTACAGCTCAGCTCCCTCTTCACCACAACGGACCAGTACAGAGTCCACAATACTGCAGGTGCTGCACCAATCCGTCTGCCAATCTCACGCTCCATTCTTCCCTCGCTCGTGAACAAAACCTCAAGATACTTGAACTCCTCCACTTGAGGCAGAACCTCGACCTGAAGAGAGCAATCCACCGTTTTCTGCCTGAGGACCATGGCCTCAGATTTGACGGTGCTGATTCTCATCCCAGCCTCTTCACACTCGGCTGCGAACTGCTCCAGAGAGAGTTGGAGATCATGGCACGATGACGCCAACAGGACCACATCATCTGCAAAAAGCAGAGATGGAATCCTGAGGCCACCGAACTGGACTCCCTCCACCCCCTGGCTGCACTGAGAAATTCTGTCCATAAAAGTTATGAACAGAATCGGTGACAACGGGCAGCCCTGGCAGAGTCCAACTCTCACCCTGAAGTGGTCCAACTTACTACTTGCAATGTGAACCAAACTCTCGCATGGCTTGTACAGGGACTGAACAGCCCCTAACAACAGGCCCCCAATCCCATACACATGGAGCACCCCCCACAGTGTACCTCGAGGAACACGGTTGGAAGCCTTCTCCAAGTCCACAAAACACATGTAGACTGGATGGGCAAACTCCCATGACCCCTCGAGGACCTTAGTGAGGGTAAAGAGCTGGTCCAGTGTTCCACGGCCAGGACGGAACCCACATTGTTCCTCCTGGATCTGAGGTTTGACCAACTTCTAAACAAAAAAATACAATTTATTAGCTGCATACTTGAAATGTTGTATCCCAGGCAAGGTGTATTGTTGCTTCTCCAAGATGGAGAGAAACGTGTCGTCGGACAGAGTCTAAAGAGAAAAGGAAATGGTCTGAGCTCTTCAGCTTTAATAATTTACTCCCCTCAAGCTTTTTACAAAGAAGAGGAGCACAGTGAGGAGAGAACAAGGGAGAAGATAGGGGGAGGATGAGGAGGAGACAGGGTGGTTTGAGCCTCTGTCCTGGGAGTATTTATAGACTCTGAGTGGCTTTTATCTGTGGCAGAATGGAGCACTCTGACCCTGAGGGCAGAACATTCAACACATTATATTTTCTCTCCATCTGCTGCTGATGTCACGTCACGTAGGACGTTCAAGGAGGCCAGAGCTCTGGGTTTAACAAGCTCGGGTTTGAGAGTCAGCAGTGTGCTTCGCCTGCTCGTGTTGTAATAGTGTGAATAAACATTCACACTATCGTGGTACGTTTTTTTTTTCTGTACGTTTTTCGGTGCGTTTCTTGTCCTGCAGTTTTCAAGTTATTTCAACAAGTCATGTATCAAAACGTTCAGCTCTTTCAGGACAATCCTGCTGTGACTTTTGGTTTTGGTGCAACTTTAGCTTTTTTAAATATTTAGCCTTTTCTGCCATTTTTTTTCTCATATAAAATGAAATGAGCTCATTTTACATCCTTCAGATCTTTAGATCTGTTTACAACCTTTTACTGCTCCTTTCATACTGTTCTGCTTCAGCTTCTTTCAGCCTCCTTGTGCAAATTTAAACTTTTTTCCAGATGTTTTTTCAGCTGTTTTGTGATCCTTTCAGATTATTTTTGCTAACTACAACATTTTTGTGCTTCTTCTAAATTCTACATGCTAATTTCTGCTTGTTATGCTCCTTTCAGCTTATTTCTGCAAAGTTCAGCTTTTACTGCTATTTTAGCTATTATATAGCTGTTTTATGCCAATTTAAACTTTTATGGCTAATTCCACATTTTTTGCACTCATTTAAACTTTTTTCAGCCTAATTCAGCAAAACGTGCTCTCTCCACCTCCTACTTGTAATTTCATCTTCTTTCTGCCTTTTTTAGCTACTTTTCAGCTGTTGTTTGCTTTTTTCAGCTTTTTTTCAGATA